TCTGATCGCTTCACTGGCGCTGTGCGCCGCTGACGTCTCTCATTTGCCCCTCTCCGGAAGCTACTTGCCTCCGCTCAGTGGTGCCGGCGGCTACTCGACGTACTCTTCGTATCCCTCGTATACGGGCAACTCCTACTCCGCTGGTGCCTACTACCCGGGCTCCCGCATCGGCTCTGGCTACAACTCCGGCCTAGGCTCCGGCTACGCTGCTCCGCTGGTCACCTCTGGCTACAACAGCTATGCAGCTGTGCCCCAGTACAACACCTATGCCACGCCCTCACGCACCTACCTGCCAGCTCAGGTAAGCTACAGTGGTCTGGACACTAAATATGCGGCCAACGGTGGCTACATCTATTAAAAGCCGAACTTAGTCTGTGCTTGGATCAGTATCGCGCCTATCTTATCATATATATGTATATATATAATTGTATATATGCTTACCGATAAAACTCTTTTTTTTTCACTATAAATAAAGTTGTTTAAACTATAATTATTTATGTTTTGTTTTTAAAGTTGAATGGGTTTGAAGTAAGACGCAAGGAAAGTGAGATGGATTGGGGTTTTCCCAGTCGGTCAGTCTTATTTTTGTGAGCTCAGAAATAGAAAAAAAATACATTTATCTATTTTTTTGTTTTTGCACATTTCAAACTTTATTTAAACACAAAACTAATTAAGAAACTTAATTTAAAAAAAAAAATGATTTTTCTTGGAAATTCGTTTTGTTGTTAACCTTTAGCCCGATTCAATCAGAAATTGTGGAGATCAGCTTAATGCTTATGACGGTACGCGTAACCACCGTTGGCAGCGTAGCGGGTGCCGCCAGCACCATGGGAGCTGCCGCCTCCGTAGCGAGATCCACCAAAGCCCTGACCAAAGCTGCGCGCCGAGGCCGAAGAGCTCGCAGCGTAGCCACCGAGGCCCTGGCCAAAGGAGGAGGCGTAACGAGCTGGCGAGGAATAGCTGCTACGTGAGACGGCTGGAGCGGAGTAGCTGACGTGCGAAACAGCTGGAGCAGAGTAGCTGCTCTGGGCTGGTGCCAGGTACTGCCGGGAGGGAGCATATGTGGAGGCAGCGGATGAGTAGCCGCTGCGAGAGACAGAAGGAGCGGAGTAGCTGCTGCGAGAGACAGCTGGAGCGGAGTAGCTCACATGCGAAACAGCTGGAGCGGAGTAGCTGCTGCGAGAGACAGCTGGAGCGGAGTAGCTGCTCTGGGCTGGGGCCAAGTACTGGCGAGATGGAGCATATGTAGAGGCAGCGGATGAGTAGCTGCTGTGAGAGACAGCAGGAGCGGAGTAGCTGCTATGGGAGATGGCAGGAGCGGAGTAGCTGCTGCGAGAGACAGCTGGAGCCAGGTATTGGCGCGACGGAGCTGCATAGGTGGAGCCAGCCGAGCTGTAGCTGCCGTGTGAGATGGCTGGGGCAGAGTAGCTGCTGGCGCCTGCGGTCGAGTAGCTGCTGAGGGATGCAGCCGGTGCCAGATACTGTCGCGATGGCGTTGCATAGCTGGAGCCCAGCGAGCTCGACGAGTAGGAGCTGGATGGTGTATAGGAGGCGACGCCGCTCGATCCCGCCGAGCTGTAGCCGCTGTACGCATTGGCCTGTGGTGGCAGATAGGTGTTGCTCAAAGGACTGGCCACGCCCAGGGCGGCGAGGGCCAGCAGCGCGGAGCAAATGACGAATGGACGCTGTCGGCAGAGACAATTCGATTAGATGGGATTAGCCACTGGAGACTGGACACTGGACACTTACCATGACGAGCTAGTGGTAGTAGTTGTTGGTCGTTCAGTGATGCTAAGCCAGCGCTTACTGATGCCCCTAGAGTTGCGGACCAACACTTTTATAGCGCTCACAAACAAAAGAATTTTGTGTACAAATCGTGTTGAAGAACGAAACGGAATCCAAGATCTCAGCTAAACTAGTCAGCCGAAATTTGAGTACCACGCCCGAGTCGTATGCGTGAGACAATCAGAAACCGCAATTCTGGCTAATTGTAAAGTTAAAAGAGCTTTTCGAGTAATACAAGTATCGTAAACATCGCGATAATTGATATTCTAAAACGGTGGCAACGCTACCAAAAGACTTTATAAAAATATCAATCAGAATTTCTAAAAAATGTACATATATACATATGTAAATATAATATAAAAAAAACTATTAAAATTACAATAAATGTTAATTGAATAATAAAAAAAAAATATAGATCAACTAAATTTAGGAATGACACCAAATAATGCTACACATGTGTCAGCATACTACCCTTTTTTTACTTTATCACCCTTTAAATACTTTATTAATTCAAATAATTTAATATAACTAAATAAATAAATTAGGTACATTATATCAGGAATTATTTTTAAATAGATATATGAAAAAAAAAAAACAAATAATTTGTAGTGCAGTGTAGACGCAGAATTGCGCTATAGTAGAGGATGCCATGGGATCTAATAGTAGTTTGTTTATTTTTAGCCATGTCCATTTCGGAAGTCGCAGAGCCAAACACAAACATTAACGCAAATAATTTGAAAGTTTAATTAATGATGCGATTTTTTTTCTATCGTGTCTAGTATTTTGCGGTCTTTGTTGTTTATTTTTGGTTCTCAGCTCAGACTGGCCAGGCGGAGCATTGGCAATAGTGAAAAACGTGAGATAAGTAAGGTTTAGGGAGGTAGAGGTGGAGATAGAGATAGACTTAGGCTAGAAGCAGAAGTAGAGCTAAAGGCGGAGATAGATATAAAAATAAATGTGGATATAGATCTACATAGATATATAGGCGGAGGTAGAGATACTGGTAGAGGTGGAGGTAGAGGTAGAGCTAGAGCTGGAGGTAGAGGTAGAGGTAGAGGTAGAGGTAGAGGTAGAGGTAGAGGTAGAGGT